AGTTGGTTCTTTGAACCAACAAAAATCAACAAAACCATTGGCCAAACTGACAAAATAAAAACAGGAGAGAAAGCAAATAACCCAAATAAGAAATGAGATGGGGACATTACAACATACCCAACTGAAATAAAAAGGGTCATAACAGAGTGCTATGAAAAATTGTACTCTAACAAATTTGAAAACCTAGAGGAAATGCACAAATTTCCAGAAACACACTACCTACCTAGACTAACACAAACTGTGATAGAAAATCTGAACAGACCCATAACAAAAGATTGAAGAGGTAATAAAAAAAAAAAAATCCCTGACCCAGGTGGCGTCACTGGAGAATTTTACCAAATATTCAGAGACGAGCTCTCACACCAGTACCACTCAAACTATGTGAGAGCATAGAAAAGGAAGGAATACTCCCAGATTCATTCTGTGAATGCAGCATAACCCTGAAGCCAAAGCCAGGTAAAGATTCTACAAAAAAGAAAATTACAGATCGATATCTCTCAGGAGAATGATGCAAAAAATTACAACAATATTCTAGCCAATAGAATTCAGCATCATATAAAAAAATAATACACCATGACCAAGTGGGATTCATAACAGGTATGCAAGGATGGTTCAACATTAGAAAATCAATCAATGTAATCCACCACATAAATAGAACAAAAGAAAAGAATCACATGATAATCTCAATTGATGCAGAAAAGGCATTTGATAAAGTCCAACACACATTCCTGATAAAAACTCTCAATATAATAGGGATAGAAGGGAAATTCCTCAACATAATAAAGGGCATCTATACAAAACCAACAGCGAATATCATTCTCAACAGAGAAAGGCTGAAAACATTCCCCCTGAGAATGAGATTAAGGCAAGGATGCCCTTTATCACCACTCTTATTTAACATTGTGCTGGAAGTCCTAGCTAGAGCAATAAGGCAAGAAAAATAAATAAAAGGCATGCAAATTAGAAAGGAAGAAGTAAAATATCCCTATTCACATATGATATGATCCTACGCTTAGACAATCCCTAAGATTCCACAAGAAAACTACTGGAACTAATAGAAAGACTCAGCAGAGTAGCAGGATCAACATACAAAAATTAGTTGGATTCTGTCTTAGGCTGGGTTCTCTAGAGAGGCAAAACCAGTAAAGCGTATAAATATGTATATAGAGATTTATATCAAGGAAATGGCTCACGAAGTTGTAGAGGCTGGACTGTCCAAAGTCTTTGGGTCAGAATAGAGGCGTCTCCTGATTCACGTAGCCACAGGGGCTGGTGAACCCAAGGTAGGCAGGTCAGACAGCAGGGCTTTTGCTCACAGGCTGTGAAGATTGGCAAGCAAACGGCAGGTAAGCTGCTAGCTCAAGAAGTGGAGATCACGTGAACAGGAGCCAGCCGCAGGATCCAGATCGAGCAAAAGCGCACAAGCCAGAAAGTCCACTAATATATTTGATGCAGGCCACACCCCTAAGGAAACTCTATTTCAACTGACTGGCTACTCACAGCAGATTCCATCATGGAGGTGATTACAGTATATCAAATCTCATCATGGAAGTGACCACATCATCATACGACTCCCAAACTACCTCATAACTGCCAAACCACTGAGAATCATGGCCCAGCCAAGCTGACACAAAACCTTAACAATCACATACTCCTAAACACCAGTAAAGAAAACTTCAAAAAGGAAATTAGGAAAACAATACCATTTATAATAATAATAATAATATCCCAAACCCATTGCCGTCGAGTTGATTCTGACAAATAGAGACCCTATAGGACAGAGTAGAACTGCCCCATAGGGTTTCCAAGGAGCAGCTGGTGGATTTGGAACTCTTATGCAGTGCTGATGGGAATGTAAAATGGTACAAACACTATAGAAAACGATATGGCACTTCCTCAAAAAACTAGAAATACCATACGATCCAGCAATCCCACTCCTAGGAATATATCCTAGAGAAATAAGAGCCATTACACAAATAGACATATGCACACCCATGTTCACTGTAGCACTATTCACAATAGCAAAAAGATTGAAACAGCCTAAGTGCCCATCAACAGATGGGCAGATGAATGGATCAACAAATTATGGTACATACACACAAAAGAATACTACGCAACAATAAAGAACAATGATGAATGCAAGAAAAATCTCACAACATGGATGAATCTGGGGGGCATTATGCTGAGTGAAATAAGTCAATTACAAAGGGACAAATATTGAATGAGACCTCTATTATAAAAACTTAAGAAAAGGTTTACACATACAAAAAGCAATCTTTGATGGTTATGAGGGAGGGGAGGGGAGGGATGGGGAGAGGAAATCACTAACTAGATAGTAGACCAGTGTTAACTTTGGTGAAGGGAAAGACAACACACAATATAGGGGAAGTCACCACAACTTGACCAAGGCAAAGTCATAGAAGTTTCCTAGACACATCCAAACACCTTGAGGGATTGAGTTACTGGGGCTGAGGGCTAGGGACCATGGTCTCAAAGGACATCTAGGTAATTGGTGTGACATAGTTCATAAAGAAAATGTTTTACATCCTACTTTGGTGAGCAGCATCTGAGGTCCTTAATGCTTGTGAGAGGACATCTAAAATACATCTATTCGTCCCATCACATTCGGAGCAAAGGAGAATGAAGAAAACAAAAGACACACCGGAAGTATCAGTCCAAAGGACTAATGGATCACATGAACCACAGCCTACACCAGCCTGAGTCCTGAAGAACTAGATGGTGCCCAGCTACTACTATAGACTGCTCTGACAGGGATTACAATACAGGGTCCCAGACACAGCCAGAGAAAAATGTACAACAAAATTCTAATTCATAAAAAAGACCAGACTTACTGGTCTGACAGATACTGGAGGGACCCCTGAGACTATGGCCCTGGACACCTTGGTAACTCAGAACTGAAGCGATTCCTGAAGTCCACCTCTCAGCCAAAGATTAGACATGCCCATAAAACAAACAATAATACACTTGAGAAACATGCTTCGTAGTTCAGTCAAGTATGTGAGACCAATGGGCAACACCTGACCAAAAGCAAAGATGAGAAGGCAGGTAGGGACAGGAAAACTGGACAAATGGACACAGGGAACCCAGGGTGGAAAGGGGGAGAATGCTGACACACTGTGATCATTGCAACCAATGTCACAAAACAATTTTTGTATAAATTTTTCAATGAGAAACTAATTTATGCTGTAAACTTTCACCTAAAGCACAATAAAATAGATTTAAAAAAAAAAGGAGGGCTGTGGGGACCATGGTCTCAGGGAACATCTAGCTCAATTGGCATAACAGTTCATAAAGAAAATGTTCTATATTTTACCTTGATGGATAGCATCTGGGGTCTTAAAAGCCTGTGAGCAGCCATCTAAGATACTCCATTGGTCTCACCCCTTTGAGAGCATGGGAGAATGAAGAAAAAAAGATACAAGGGAAAGATTAGTCCAAAGGACTAATGAACGACAACTACCACGGCCTCCACCAGACTGAGTCCAACACAAATAGATGGTGCCCAGATACCACCACTGACTGCTCTGACAGGGATCACAACAGAGGGTCCTGGACAGAGCTGGAGAACAATGTAGAACAAAATTCTAACTCACAAAAAAAGACCAGACTTACTGGCCTGAGAGTGGAGAAACCCCAAGAGTATGGCCCCTGAACACCCTCTTAAATCAGTAAAGAAGTCACTCCCGAGGTTCACCCTTCAGCCAAAGATTAGACAGCCCCATAAAACAAAATGAGACAATGGGGCACAACAGTCCAGGGACAAGGACTAGAAGGCAGGAGGGGACAGGAAAGCTGGTAATAGGGAACCCAAGGTTGAGAAAGGAGAGTGTTGACATGTTGTGGGGTTGTTAACCAATGTCATAAAATAGTATGTGTACTGACTGTTTAATGAGAAACTTTGTTCTGTAAACCTTCATCTAAAGTACAATTAAAAAAAAAAAAGAAAAAAAGGTAAATTAAAAAAAAAGTAGGTTTAAGATACACCCTACACTGATACAGCCTCATTCATATAACAAAGAACCCTATTCCTAAATGGGATTACACCCACAGGTATAGGGGTTAGGATTCCAAGATATATTTTGGGTGAACACAATTCAATCCACAACACTAGTTTCCTTGAATCTCAAGAACAGGATACAGTTAACTCATTTCAGACACTCCCTCTATACTGTAAGAACCAGGTGTGGAAGAGAAACAAAGGAAACATCTGGGGGATGCATGCTATTAACCGCCAACTCCCAAATTCTTTCTCTACCCAAAGTCCTAAGTGTGAGGGGTAGGACATCTAAAGCACAAAAAGAGATGAAGTGGGAATTAGGAGTTGGGAATTAGGGGATACTTTTTCCTTTTCTGCAGCCCTGGTGGTGCAGTGGTTAAGAGCTTGGCTGCTAACCAAAAGGATGACAGTTCAAATCTACTAGCTGCTCCTTGGAAACCCTATGGGGGAGTTCTTCTACTCTGTCCTATAGGGTCACTGTGAGTAGGAATCAACTCGATGACAACAAGTTTTGGTTGGTTTGTTCTTTTCTAGCTGCTTTTGTTCCTACTTATCAATCAGCAAACATTTAAGGAGAGTCAGCTCTGGGCAAGGTGCCGTGTTAGTCCCCACTGGGGACACAAAGAACCATAAGGCAAACATGGTCCATCCTCAATGGATTTACAGTGTTGTTGGAGAAACAAGACACAGAAAAAAGATAAGTTACAAGACAGGATATGATCAGTTCCAACAAGTTTTATAGACAGTTAAAGTGCCATAAAAATTCAGAAGAGGAAGAGAACATGTTGGAACACTTTAACAGATAAGCAGTTGGGGGGATACTTGTTGGAGAAGAGGGTAATCCAGGCCAGGGGAATAGTGTGTGAAAAGGGCTCAAAGTGAAAATGTTCAAGACACGTTGGTAAACACTTTGGCCAGTATTTATGGAGTCCCTGTTGTGTGACAATCACTGTGCCAGGGGAGAAGATGGATACAGTACAACTTTTTTTTTTTTTTTTGCATTTGATATTTTATTTGGTTGTTTGGGCTGGGTGGTATCTTAAACTCCATACATTTGTAGACTTCCCAATCCATTATTTTCCCATATATCACATCTCCTTAAGCAGGTCTCCACCTCCTGCATCAAGTAGAGATGAGGAAGGGCGAGCACACACAGGGGGCTCAGCACAGATTTGCAGGGAGTCAACATAACTGCTAAGGAGAGCAAGAGTGTTTTGTAATCCTCCATTCAGGAAACACATAGGCGCTCGTTATTTTTTTTCAAAGTGGAAATAGTTTTTCTTTTTTCCCCTTATTCTGCAAAACATACTTATGATTAAATAAATCAAATATTACATAAATGTATAAAGTCAAAAGAGAAAGTCACTCATAATTCTACTTCTCAGAGATAACCACTATCAAAACATTCCTTCAGAGTTTTTGTTATGCACAAATATGTATCTTTCAACGAGGGCTTTCTGGAGACCTCGTGGAGATCCTTTAAATTGAAATCTGACAAAGAGAACAACGAGAAGTACTGGTCTGGGATTTGGAGCAAATAGCTTGTAAAGTCTACACTTGCCACATTGCATGTATTAGGTTGAATCATATGAAACTATGGATATTTACCTGTTTTTGACCTACAAAAACAGCAATTTCTGATGGTTCAACCTAATATACATGAAGCCTAGAATGTCAGAACTGGTAGGGCCCTTAGATACTTTCAAGTCTAACTATTTCATTGTACAGAAGAGGAGAAAGGATCAGAGAGAAGAAGTGTCCAGCCCAAGGTCACACACCACATTAGTGGTATAACCATGGCTGACTCTCTTTCCACCGGACCATGTACCTGCATTTTACACTCTGCTTCTCTTAATGTCATCTTCTATGAGCAATGGGTGGAAGCTTCAAGGAAGCAGATTTCACCTTGGTACCAGGAGAATTTTTCACAATCAAAACTCAATCAAAATGGAAGAGGCTGTCTTGGGAGGTAGTGCAGTCATGGGGTTTGGGTTGGGAAGGGCACTGTAACATGATAGGTCAAGAGGCTGGTAAACCCTGGAGCTGTGGAGCTAGTGAGGTTTAACATTCAGGGACCCACACTTGCATGGGCTTCTTCCTAAGGCCCTAGAAGGGGCCTTAGAAACATATTAACATGATGATATGTTTTTATAATATTTACAAAAGTAAGATATTTTAAAATTATTTTTCTTAAAGAGGCTCCACAGAATTACATAAGCATCAGGCCCCACAAGTCCTGGGGAGAGTTTTGGAAAGCACTAGGCAAGGAGACCAGAGGCCTGGGTTCCAATCATGGCACCACTTAGGCCCAAATGGATACAATGGCACTTACCCCGTTTACCTCACAGTGGGGTAAAATCACAGATGTTAAATTGTGTTGAAAAATATAAAATGTGAACAAATATAAAGATAGATTAAGTAAATTTGTGAGCAGATATAATCTATTTGTGATATAGGATAAGCACTGCTGTTTCTCATGGCTGTTGAAGATAACACAGAAAAAGTCCTCGGTGCATCTTCCTGTTTCATTTCTTTCCCCTACAACTTCCTCTTCTCTTTCCTCCAACCCTCACCCCCAACGCCCCAACCATGAGACTAGTCATCAGTCATTATCCTTTGCTATTTCTATGTTTTTTATGGGGTTCCCACTGTCTGTAAAGTCTATCTTTGCCTGGAAAAAATCCTTATCCACAAGGCCCAGCTCTGTCAGCCCCTCTCCTCTCATCCCCATGATGATCTCCCTTAGCACTGCTTCTTCCTGATCTCACAGATAGGGACATGGAGACCTGATGTGGTCTACATCTGAGTTCTGGAGGCCTCAGAAGACAAGCCTCAAGTGCCTTGATCTAGTGCCATTCTTGGCTTTTGAACATCATAATACAGACACACGGTTCTTGATGTGCACATGATAGGGGTCACTGCGCTTGTCCACTTTGTGGCAGTGGTGTATCCCAGAATGAGGCTGCCCACTGTGGCAGCAAACAGGAACATGATGAAGAGAATGTACGTGTAGGAGTTGTCATCATGGCCAGGTAGGCTGGCCTGTCGTTTTTCAGTCTGGTTGTCTGGCCCTCGCCCTGGCCCTGGCCGGCAGAGCAAGTTGCTGTGGAGAGTCTCATTTAGGGCCTTCAGCACAGCATGCAGACTCTTGTACCATGTCTCAGTCCCATTAGTGGTCTCCATAGCAACAGGGATTGGGGTAAAGGAAAAATCAGAGGTTGCTCAAACAGTCTCTAGCTCTGAGTAGGCATAGCCCTAAGGCTCCTCAGCCCCTCAGCCTCTTCAGGTCTCTGGGCACATCTGGGGTCTCAGACTTGATTTCAGGAGCTACCTCTGGGCACACTCCAAGGGGGTGCCCATTTGCCCCCTTGGACTCTGTGCCCTTGCTCGGGGGTTGCCCAGGTCCTATCCCCTGCAGCAAGCTGCTGGCACCCAGCACTGCCCTGCGCCCTCTTGTCTCTTGGATACAGTATAACTTGGTGGTCAACAGGGCAGGCTCTGAAATAAAAACAGACTGGAATTCTAGCTCGGATTCTTACGATGAACGTGCCTTGGGGCAGATCACTTAACCTCTCCAACCTTCAGTTTCCTTATCCATGGGCTGGACACTGTTGTAAGCACTAAGGATACAGCATAGAGTAATAAAAAACCCTACAGTCAGGTCTTGTTATTTGCAGTGTTGCTTTTGGGTGCCGTCGAGTCGATTTTGACTTGTAGTGACCCTATAAGACAGTGTAGAACTCCCACATAGGGTTTTCTAGTTGTAATATTTATGGGAGCAGATCGCCAGGTCTTTCTCAGGCAGAGCAGTGGTGGGCTTAACTGTTGAGCCAGCAGTAGTCATGTTCTATTATCTCTCCCCACCCAACACTGAATTAGTGAACAGGGAATCAACCTTGTTGGACCTTAGCTGGGAATTTTTCACGGCTCTGTGCATGTCTGAGAATGACTAGGAAAGCACTAGGAATATTGATTTTGGGGTTACAAATAATTGTTAGTGAGTAGGTGAACTTGCAAACACAGAACTCATGAATAATATTTATTTTGTGCTTTACTGCAGGGCACAGAGTCCTGGGTGCCGTGAATGGTTATACACTTGGCTGCTAATTGAAAGGTTGGCAATTTGAGTCCAACCAGGGTCACCTCAGAAGAAAGCTTTGGCAATCCACTTCCAAAAAACCAGCCATTGAAAACCTTATGGTGCACAGTTCTACTCTGACACACATGGGGTCACTGTGAGTTGGAATTGACTAGAAACTGATTTGGTTTGTGTTTTTGTAGGGCACAGGCTATTCTCTAAAATGTTCTAAGCATTTTTTTTTTCAATTGTGCTTTAGGGGAAAGTTTACAGCTCAAGTCAATCTCTCATACAAAAATTTATGCACACATTAATATGTGACATTAGTTGCAATCCCCACAACATGACAGCACACCTCCCCCCGGCCTGGGTTTCCCATGTCCCATTCAACCAGCTTCTGTCCCTTCCTGCCTTCTCATCCTGTCTCAAAAATGTGGAAGGCTTCACAAATTTGCATGTCATCCTTGCGTCCTTGCACAGGGGCCATGCTAATCTTCTCTGTATCATTCCAATTTTAGTATATGTGCTGCTGAAGCAAGCACTCTAAGCATTTTTAAGTATTATTTAATTCACAGAGTTAACCCAGTGAGGTCGGTTCTTTCGTTATCCTCATTTTAAAAACAAAGTGTGGTACAGAAAGGCGAAGTGCCTTGCACTAGGTCTCACAGCTCTCAAGGAGCAGAGACAGAGTGCAGCTCAGGCACGCTGGCCCCCAAACCCATGCTTCTAACCATTATACTAACTGGCCTTTGAGGAGCTGGGTTCCTGTAGGGATGTGGCAGTGAGATATGTGATTGCATAGTGTGGTGATGACCTTGAACACCAGTGTACAGAAAATAGGAATATCTTGCAATTAGAATTCTTTTCAATTTACTGCTTTGCTGCTTGAACAAGTTGTCCTGTCTAAAAATTACAGGTTTCATGTGGCCATTGAAGGACTTGTACTAGCGATAGTTAAAAAACTATTTTAAGAAGATTATTCTTCCTGTGACATAGATCATGGGTTGAGGTGAGAGAGATTGGAGGCAAGTGTGACTAGTTAGAAAAGATGATGAAGTCTGGTTCTAGGGTAGGGGCAGTGGGAATGAAAAGAAAGGGGTAGATTTGAAAGACAATACTAAGCGAAGAATATTAATTCATTAAAAATGTTTCTTATTTGGCGAAGGGTCAGACAGTACACAATATTGGGGAAACCAGCACAACTTGTACAAGGAAAGGTCATGGAAGCTCCATAGACACATCCAAATTCCCTGAGGGACTGAATTGCTGGGCAGAGGGCTGTGGGATCATGGTCTCCCAAAACATCTAGCTCAATTGGCATAACACAGTTTATAAAGACAATGTTCTACATTCTACCTTGGTGAGTAGTGTCTGGGGTCTTAAAAGCCTGTGAGCAGCCATCTAAGATACTCCACTGGTCTCACCCCTTCAGGAGCAAGGGAGAATGAAGAGAACAGGATACAAGGAAAAGATTAGTCCAAAGGACTAATGGACCACAGCTACCAACGCCTCCACCAGACAGAGTCCAGTACAGCTAGATGGTGCCCAGCTACCACCACTGACTGCTCTGACCGGGATCACGACAGAGGGTTCTGGTCAGAGCTGGAGAAGGATGTAGAACAAAACTGTAACACACAAAACAAAGACCAGATTTACTGGCCTGAAAGAGACTGGAGAAACCTGGAGAGTATGGCCCCAGACACCCTTTTAGCTCAGTGGCGAAGTCACTTCCGAGGTTCACCGTTCAGCCGGGGATTGGACAGCTGCATAAAACGAAATGGGACTAATGAGGTACAGCAGTCCAGGGACAAAGACGAGAAGGCAGGAGGGGACAGGAAAGCTGGTGATAGGGAATCCAAGGTTGAGAAGGGACAGTGTTGACATGTCTTGGGGTTGTTAACCATTGTCATAGGGAAACATGTGTACTGTTTAATGAGAAACTATTTTGTTCTGTAAACCTTCATCTAAAGTGAGAATAGCAGCACAATTGGAAGAACGTAATCGATGTCACTGAACTGTGCATGTAGAAATTTGTGTAATGGTGTATCTTTGGCTATGTATATTTTCACCAAAACAAAATGGCAAGAAGGGAGAGGGTTGACATGTCATGGGGTTGTTAACCAATACCATAAAACAATATGTGTACTGACTGTTTAATGAGAAACTATTTGTTCTGTAAACCTTCACCTAAAGTACAATAAAAAATTTAAAAAAGTAAAAAAAATGTTTCATATACTAGTATATATTAATATTAATAAGCATATTTAGAGCTGTGGTTTTTAAAGAACTCTGCGATCACTAATCCATCCAACATTCCAAGAAGCACAGTCATTATTAAAAGGAGGCAGTTCATCTCCAGAATGTATACCTTTCTTTCATAGTCCATCTTTTTATTGGTTTTTCATGGAAATATGTATGGCTTGGGAGAGGTGGGAGAAAAGAAACTTCAGGTTTGTTTACTTTTGTAGGTTTTAAGTTTTTAGCTGATTAAAGAGTAGCATCTGAAAAGCGGTAGCTTATCCCTAAAACTCACTACCCGTCTGCCAGTTTGTCGTACTGTGGTAGCTTGCATGTTGCTGTGATGCTGGAAGCTATGCCACCAGTATTTCAAATACCAGCAGGGTCAATCATGGCGGATAGGTTCCAGCAGAGCTTCCAGACTAGGACAGACTAGGAAAAAAGGCTCGGAGATCTACTTCTGAAAATTAGCCAGTGAAAACATTATGCATCATACAAGAAAACTGTCCACTTCCTTGCTTTGGACACATCATCATGAGGGATCAGTCACTGGAGGAGGATCATGTTGGGTGAAGTAGAGGGCCATCGAGGATGAGGGAAACCCTCGGTGAGATGGATTGGCACAATAGCTGCAAGGATGGACTTGAACATGTCGATGATGGTGAGGATGATGATGTATATAAGGTTGCCATGAGCCAGAGTTGACTCAATGGCAGCTAAAAACAACAGCAATACCTAAAACAGGAGATATTTGATTGGTGTATGTAAAACGGTGATACAAATCTTCCTGGCCAAATTAGTTCTTTGAAAAACTCATAATTTGGAGAATGGCGTACACCTGTTACTCTTTACTAGCTATATTAGAGAGTCGGTAGCTGGACTTGTTTGAGGTTTCCCTTGGGATTCAGTAGCCTGGAAATGGAAAAATGACTCAAAGTATCTTTGTTTTGATTTAGTCTAGTTGGAGAAAAATGAGATACAAATCCCACTGGGGCAGAATTATCTAGTCCTCCTGCATTTAACCCTTTCTTTGATTGGCTATGGAGACCTCAGCAGAGAACGCTTGTGTTCTTCATGCTGATTTTCAAATCTGTACTACAGAGGTTGGTACTCAGCAAATACTCCACACCTATGCTCATTCTTTTCTATATAAATTTTGAGATGGTTCAAATCTACAGAAAAGTCCTAAGATTAAATGTAAAATAAAATAGAATACTGTGCAACCATTTATGAAACACACACACACATATTCAAACTATCTTTGACTTTCTATTATGTAAGGCATTTTGCTGAGAAGATAATAGAAAACCATCTCTCATGGAATTTGCACTGTTAAACAAAAAAGCAAGCTACAGAAGAGTTATGTATAGCACTATCCCATTTGGTCAAAAAAAAAAGTGGGTATGTATGCACTGAGGGATATCATTGCTGATGTCAGATGGATCCTGTCTGAAAGCAAAGAATAACAGAAAGATGTTTACCTGTGTTTTGTTGACTATGCAAAGCATTTGACTGTGTGGATCATAACAAATTATTGCACAGAATGGTAATACTTGGTTGTGCTCACGCAAAACCTGTACATCAGGAGGCAGTCGTTTGAACAGAACAAGGGGATACTGCGTGGTTTAAAATCAGGAAAGGCATGCGTCAGGGTTGTATCCTTTCACCACACTTGTGCAATCTGTATGCTGAGCAAATAATCCCAGAAGCTGGACTATTATATAAGGAGGAGTGTGGCATCAGGATTGGAGGAAGATTCATTAACAACCTTTGATATGCACAGTGGCAGATTAACCAGTAAACATGGTACGCACCAGCTTGCATTGAGCAAGGTACACATGGGTTTAATTGTATTTACTTGCTAATCTGTGGTGAGCAATTTCACCACATTCTTTGATGTAGTGGGGGCAGGTGAAATTGTGCACTGCAAATTGGTGGGAAGGCACAATTGGGCTTGTGCGTACCTTGCTTATTGGGTAATCTAGCCCTGTATGCAGATGACACAACCTTGCTTCCTGAAAGCAAGGAGGATTTGGAGAAGTTATTGATGAGGATCAAGGACCATAGCCTTCAGTATGGATTACACCTCAACATCAAGAAAACAAAAATCCTCACAACTGGACCAGTAGGCAACATCATGATAAATGGAGAAAATACTCCACTGGGATGTCAGTTTGGCACATTTGAAGAACTGAGATGAAGTCAGTGTGGCTGAAGCAAAGCATCTCCCAGTTCTGTTGGGGTTGGCTGTATTAAAGTCAACCCCTGCCCCCACCCAAAAAAAAGATACAGAAATACTTCATTACCACAAAAATCTCCCTTGTGCTACCACTACTACTATCCCTAATCCCTGCAACCACTAATCTGTTATAAAATTTTATAATATTTTGAAAATAGTGTACAAATGGACCCATATAGTATGTATCCTTTCGAGACTGGCTTTTTTTTTAACTCATCATAATGCCCTTGAGATCTACTGAAGTTGTTGCATGCATCAATAGTTACTCCATTTTTATTGCTGAGTAGTTTGTAGTTTGTGCTTGACTACTAACCTAAAAGTTGGTGGTTTGAACTCACCAGTGGTATCACAGAAGAAAGGCTTGGTGATATGGTTCCATTAAAATTCCAACCAAGAAAACCCTATGGAGCAGTTCCATTCTGTAACACATAGGGTTGCCATGAGTTGGAATTGACTTGATGGCAACTAACAATAACAACAAGTATGCCATGGTATGGATGTACCATAGTTTGTTTTACCATTCACCTATTAAGGGACAGTTTGGTTATTTCCAGCTCTTGGCTATTACAAATAAAGCTGCTATGAACATTTGCATATAGCCTTTTGTGTGGATGTAAATATTAATTTATCTGGGATAAATGCTGAGGAGTACTATTGTTGGGTTGTGTAATAAGTATATGTTTAGTTTTTAAAGAAACTGGCAAAGTAATTTCCAGAGTGGCTGTACCATTTTACATTCCTACCAGCAACGCATAGAGAGATCCTGTTTATCCACATCCTCACCAGCATTTGGTATGTCAGTATTTTTTTTATTTCGCTGTTCTAATAGATATGTAGGTCCCTAGATGTCAAAAACAGTTTGCGTTCAGCTACTTACTGAAAGGTTACTGGTTTTAACTGACTTAGCACCACGAAAGAAAGGCCTGGTGATCTACTTCTATAAGATTACCATACCGTAGCAACCCCATAGGACAGAGTAGAACTGCCCCGTAGAGTTTCCATAGCTGTAATCCTTTTTTTTTTAACTCCTCAGAAATATTTATGATGAAACTTCAGCACTAGCCCAAACACACTTCACGTAATGAAATGAAACCATAAATTATTTCCAAGAACATTGTAATGCCAAGGGAGCTCACTTAATTACCCATTATCCCAGAAACACAGACATAATGTTAATTAAAACGAAGGGGGAAAGCCATTTCCATTTTTTATTAAGATTCATTGGGCTCTCAAAGAGCTCTTTGCCCTGAAGGCAGGCCAGGTGATGGAGAGCTAGTCTTGGGGAGCTGAAATCAGTAACTCAGACAAGAATGGGTCACCAAGGGGTCAGGAAACAGGATCGCCAAAACAGGCGGGGAACTGGCTGGCCCTCACCCTTGCTTGCACTTCCACCATTAGAAATTTTTTTTTTTCGTCTGGATAGTGCTAGATCCTTGTTGTCTCTTTCAGTACTCCCAAATGTCTCACATACTTCAGACATGTTATCAGGAGGGATCAGTCCCTGGAGAAGAACATCTTGCTTGGTAAAGTAGAGGGCCAGTGAAAAGGAGGAAGACCCTCAACAAGATGGACTGATGCCGTGGCTGCAACAATGGGCTCAAGCATAGCAATGATTGTGAGGATGGTGCAGGACCGGACAGTGTTTCGTTCTGCTGTACATAGGGTTGCTATGAGTCAGAACCGACTTGACGGCACCTAACAACAACAAAATGTCTATAAGAAGTTG